GGAGCACCATATGGTTCTCCGTAGGCTCCCGAGCGCTCCGCGGCCCCAGATCAAGCTTAGTCAGCGGATTTCTATGCCATTTTTGGAGTCTGTAAGTGTTTTATACTTCCAAAACGGGCTAGGCAGATTCTGCGGAGCGCTCGGGAGCCTACGGAGAACCATATGGTGCTCCCGAGCGCTCGCGAACCCCAGCGGTTTTGGTTGAGCAGCCCCATGACGGACATAATGACGGGTATGATATAGTGAGAAAGGCCAAAATTGGCAATTAATTGTATTGTATAAGCGGGAACGGAAATTAACGCCTGGCTAGCTCAATCGGTAGAGCGTGAGACTCTTAAAACAGTCATCTCAAGGTTGTGGGTTCGACCCCCACGTTAGGCTAAGGGAGTTACTTTTTGGCTTCCCTAATAGAAAATAGTTTCGATACCTGCACTTTTCCTCCTTTTTGAGTCCTTGAAGCTGTGAGTGAACTTTCGGGTGAACATGAACCAAAATAAGAATGTATTTGGCTACTAGTACGTAAATACAAGAGATTATAAACGAGCGGTTTGTAAGGGCTGTATAGAGAGCAATCACGAGTCCCAGAATAATAGAAAAAGATTGTACGGGATATGATCGGGAAATTGAATGCGATAAACCAAATGGGCGCTGGGTGAGTGCTGGTTTATGGGTTGCCCCTGACTCCCCTTGCCCAGGGGATAACACAGTGAAGCCCGAACTTTCCACCGGAAGATCGCGCTCCGAAACCGCCCACAACCAAGACGAAATGGGCAAGGGCGAGAGTGGTGGTGATAGCCACAACCCCAGGGACCGCATACGACCTCTCCTTCACCCGTTGGGACTTCTTGACAGGAGCGAGGGAACCTGTCGGGGTGCAAGTGGCTGCGCTCTCAATGAGGCGCATATTGTACTTGAGAGCCGTTACAGCTTCTTGAATAATGATTTCTACAAATGCCAGCACGGTTAGAATGTTTTCAACGAGGGAAAAAGCTAAACGGACCCTTCAGTACCCTATTGTTACCAACACCCTCGTTCATTCCTTGTCTGTACCAGGCCTTGATCCTTAATAATTCGGCATGGGAGGCGCGGCCTTCGGTACCCGAACCGCCGTGCAGCACTCCAAACTCGTAGAAGCTCGCACCAGAGCCACCGTCGGGCAAGTCGTACGCCTTGGTTAACTTGGCCTTTACAACCTGCCCGCCGCTCAAGTCGCCCATGTACCGCGCGTATGCATGGGCTAACAGTCTGGAATGATTCATCGAGTCCTTCGAGGCGGCGAGTTTCTCAAGGTAAGCCACATAATCGCGTACAGCCTCGGGTGGCGAAGTCAGGAGTGATTGGTAGAGCGGGTGAGAAGGCCATTCATCTTCAGTTGTGTCCAAGAGGTAAGCGATATCTTCAGAGAGTCGGCTCGCGCGGTGGAGAAGTGCAGGGCGGTATGTTGGTGCAAGAACAGCGTTTGTAGAATGCGCGTCAAGTCCGTTTTCCAGAGTACTGCAGCAATATAATGAGCTAAATCAAAGCCATGCCACCGTTCAAAAGCCACCAACCTGTAAATTCTGTACAGAATCATCGCGTAAAACACGTATTCTTCCTTTGAAAGTTCTCCGCGAGTGAGCCTACCAGCATAAGGCATCTTGGTTATCTCATCGTGAATTCTCTTGGTGGCTCCCCACACCAAGGTAGAGATAGGTCGAGAATAATCGAGGGGAGACAGCGGGGCTTGCATATTGTACTGGTAAGTGGTGAGTGGTGGTCAAGTGACTGTTGTGATCCGTGAGGAGCAGCCCATTTAAAACGGCGTCATTTTCCAACCCTGGTGCGGCAGGTGGCATGACGAAACGTGACGGTGTCCAAGCGTAGCTAAATACGGCAGAAGCTCAAAGCAGGGCAAACCCTTCAGCACAATCCAGGGGCTTGTTCGGCACCGCACATCTACACTGCCGCCGCGACTTATGCATACATGCTACGCAAACCCCTGACCTTGCCATATTAGTTCGCAGGATTCCCTTTGAGGTCTTTGTGTGTCCACTCGCCTGATTTTCAAGACACCCGAAACAGACACGGTGCTTTCCTAAGCCTTTGCTAATGATGGCAATCTTGTGCCATACTCCGGCAATCAAGACACAACAGTCGACACAAATACTTGTTTTCTCATTCGTCCAAGTATGGATGCGTGGATAATCCCCCATCCTCACATTCTGGGATTGGGTGCTTAGAGATCCAGTCGAATGATGACCTGTGCCATCCAAGAAGAGCAGTCGGCCAATCGTTCAGCCATCATTCATCAAGTCTTGGACCGGGCTGAGCGGGCAGTTGACCGGGATGCGTAGCCACGAAGCCGAATACGAGCACCGAAACCCTCGCACCAGGTAGCTTCCATTCACAGCTATAGCGACGTCAATCCTGAGCTTTCCGAAGTTGAATTGGTTGATAAAGGTCGCTCATCTCGTGGAGAAAGGTGGACCGAGTTAAGGAAATGGCTGATTAGGGCGGCGCCAGTAGTTCCAAAGTGTTTGGGTAAAGGGATAGTATATGTGCGTATGCTAGGCTTAGGGTGTGCACGTCGGCGTCCATGAGAGTGAGCAGCTAGACTCGACCATTCATGAGCTTGGCGTGGTGGATGTGGATGAGCGACTCGATCAATTGCAAAATCCAACGAATCAAATCCCAAATAACCCCGCATCGCTTAAGTTTTTGAGCAGTAAAATGCAAAAAATGATTCCATTAGCCTAACGTGGGGGTCGAACCCACAACCTTGAGATGACTGGTTTTAAGAGTCTCACGCTCTACCGATTGAGCTAGCCAGGCGCTGACTGGTGATAGGGGTTTGCAGCTCTGAGCCGCTGCTCTTGCCACAGATCAGTGGTCATGCAGCATGTATAATGATAAAGTACATCTAATCAGCATATATCCCAACCAAGAACTGACTGACTCCCTCGGGTGTAAGGATCCCGACGTCAGTAAACACTAGAGTGATGAGGTCAGGGGTAGTGTAGTCCACCTCGGGATTTTTGGCCAGTTGCTCCTTGGTCATCGTCGCAACTGCATGAGGCCCCTTGGCAGAGTTGGGCGTCGAGGCGTCAAAAATACCTCTCAGTGAAGGTCCACGACTTATGGACGGGGTTGGTGGTATGAGGTGCTCGGTTTGGGACTGATCCCGCGAAGGCGTCCTGCGGTGAGCCGGTAAAGGAAGAATGGAGCGTCCCTGGACCGGGGGGTCATAGTTGCTGATGAATGGGTTTGTGAACGCCTGGTACACGAGCTTCTTCTCGTTCTCTCTTTGTGTCTCGGTAGGGCCTGCACGGAACTTGGATCGCGTCGGGGAGCCGAAAGTTAATGACTCCCTGTCGATACCCCCAACATATGGCAGATCGTGCTGAGAGAGTGGGAACAGACGAAGGAACTTGTAGCTTTCGGCGAGCGCGTAGAAGGGTACCTTGGCTGCTTTGGCAATCAAGGCAGCTTGGTATGAACCGACCGCATTGATGAGGCCACCTGATTCGACGACCGCCTCAGAGCCGACAAGCACAAGGTCGACCTTGTCCATGACATAGGCTACAGCTGAGTCCAATACAACAGTGCATGGCACTCCGGCTGCGGTCAAAGCTTCGTAAGTCTTCATCCTGGGGTAAAGGTTAGATACACAGCGATGTGGGGTTAATATATTACTCGTACCCTAGCCCTCTCGGGCGAGCCTCCGTTACATATACCGATATACGCCGTTGCCTGTGAGCGTGTAGCAGTGCGTGCATGACAACTCGTGAATACGAGTGTGTTAATATCTATGGATGTGTCTCCGCGTGTTAGGGTTAGTGTCTCATAAGGGCTGTACCCACTTACGATCGAATCGTCCTTGATCACTCCCAATGTATGTTGGGCAATGGTATCCCTACATGTCGCAGCTGTTGTCTGAGCATATTTCCTTCCCTGTTTTACCAGCTCTTCTTTGTGATCCTCAAAAGATCTCATGGCCTAAACTCAAATATTTACTCCCATTTTGTGAGTGCATAGCCGGTGACTTACCGATGTATCTTGAGGAAGAGACGTAACGTACCGGATGAAGAGATCGCACCCCGCAGTCAA